TAAAGGCAGCAACCGATGTTCCACACAAATTCATCACAAATTCATCACACGGCTCTGGTATCCACCCAAACCTCTTGAACAGACGAGCGGGAGTGCTCAATTCAACTCTTTAATTAAAGTGGAACCATGATCGCACTTTGTCATGAGCTACAGTACTGTAGGAATGTAACAGACTACTACAGACTGAGAGTCACAGAAACTAGTGAGCACACACTGCAAGGCCAGGTTACTTGTGAGCATACACTGCAAGGCCAGGTTACTTGTGAGCACACACTGCAAGGTCAGGTTTCAACACCCACAATGCATACCCACGTACACAAACTTACACATGCCAATCGCTGAAGCAATAATAGCAACTCGTGCCGGTATCACATCATTCAACAGCTTGTAAGGCTGATGAATTGATCGCCACTATAATTTTAGCTTGCACGCATACGCGCACACACACACACACACACACACACACACACACACACACACACACACACACACACACACACTACTACTACTATAGCATGACTGCCCATTGGGCAATGTCACCCCCGGAGGGGGCCAGAGTTTGGAGGGCACCGTCATTGGCAGGACTTCTGGTGCCTCGTCAAATCTTGCTGTCGTCGGAAACGCTTCGGGCAATGCATGCAGATCAGCGGCAGTGACACACACACACACACACACACATACACACACCTTTGGACCTTTGGAAAGCCCATCGCCAAAGGCGATGATAGCTATTAGGCGAGGCAGTAGTTCTTGTGTCGGGATAAATCATTCGGACGGCGAAAGTCGCGGCCGCAGACACAGACGAACACTCTTGGTTGGGGCTGGCTTGGTGGCTTCCGACGGCTACGTTCGCGCCAGTCCCTCCGGTCCTGAGCAAGGTGGTACCATTGCGCCTCCGGGATACCGGTCGCACGCAGGTCTGAAGCTGCCACATCTCTCCAACGACGCTTGGGTCCATGACGGGGCCGCGTGTTAGTGCCCTCCGCAAACAGGATCTGCTTTGGCAACCTGGTGTCGTCCATCCTTGCGAGGTGACCAAGCCATCGCAGGCGATTCACACGAATGGCCTCCTCCAGCGAGGCTGGCATGCCGCTGCGCTTCGCCAAGTCTTCACTTGACAGGTGTTCCTGCCACTGCTGGTCTCGGGTAACACTCAGGATCGTGCGAACACACTGTCGATGGAACGTGTCCAACCTGCGCAGGAGGGGTGCCTTCAGCGTCCATGTCTCAGAACCATACAGCAGCACTGTAAGGATCACGGCCTGGTAGACCTGACGTCGGATTCCAAGCGATAGACCCGAGTTCCGGAAAATTGGTTGGAGGAGGCTACCAAACGCCCTCGATGCCTTGGCGAGACGAGTTGTGACTTCGGCATCCAGCTCTCCATCGTCGCTGATCGTACTGCCGAGGTAGGTAAAATCGCTGACCACGCCGATCATGTCACCAGCACTCCCAGGCACCACAATATCAGCACGGATGACACTCGGACCGACCGCCAAGAACTTCGTCTTCTGCACACTAACAGTCAAGCCCCAGCCTGACGCACACTGCGTAAATTCCTTCACCATCGTCTCCATGTGCTCGTACGAAGTGGTATACAGGGCAGCATCATCCGCAAATAGCGACTCGGACACGGATAAGTCTGTGAGTCTGTGCTTGGCAGTACGGTCGCCAACCAACTTGCGGCCGATACGATGTTTCATCGGGAAACTAGGCACTGTGGATATTGAGCGCCAGTGTGCAAGGACGGCAGAGAAGTAGAGGTTGAACAACATCGGAGCCAGGGTGCAACCCTGGCGTAGACCATTCTCCACCCCAAAGCTGTCAGACTGACCACTACCCACGCGAACAGACGCCATCATACCCTCGTGAAGAGACCGGATCACCTGAAGCATGCGCGGAGGCACACCGAGTTTCTGCAGGACCAGCCAAAGCGCTGCACACACACACACACACACACACACACCTTTTGACACCCAGATAGCGATGCTACAGCAGAAGCCATAGCAACTTGTGCTGGGATTGCACAATTCAACAGCGTGCAAGGCTGAAGAATTGACCGCCACTATTCAGCCTGGTCTACACCACACAGCTATGAAGTGGCTTTTTCTGGCCAGTGAATCCCTGCTTTTTGGTCTTTTGTTCTTTTTTTCCCCACACACCTCACACCACATACATGCACTGGCTGTTGGTAACCACCCAGGAGAATGAAAGAAAAGTCAGGAGGTGTCTGAGAAAGAGAAGAAAGACGTGTTTGACCATTATCGTCGGGAATCAAACCCGCAACCTCTCGACTGGAAATCGCTGCACATACCACTGCACCATACGGGGGACACACACACACACACACACACATACACACACGCCTCAGACATGCCCATCGCGGAAGCGATGATAGCGAACAGCTATGTTAGACATAGCAACTTGTGCTGGGATTACACCATTCAACAGCTTGCAAGGCTGATGAATTGACCGCCACTATTTTTAGCCTGGTATCCACCACACAGCTGTTTGAAGTGACTTTTTCTGGCCAGTGAATCCTTATTTTTCATTTTTCATTTTTTTTCTACACACACACACCACACCACATACTCCGGCATACACTGGCTGTTGGTAACCACCCAGGAGAATGAAAGAAAAGTCAGGAAGAGTCCGAGAAAGAGAAGAAAGACGTATGCGACCATAATCGTCGGGAATTGAACCCGCAACCTCTCGATTGGAAATCGACTGCACATACCACTGCACCATATGGGACACACACACACACACACACACACACACACACACACACACACACACACACACACACACACACACACTGGCGCTTATAGAATGGTTCCAAAGCGAGCACTCCGTTTTACCTGCCCTTTTGATCACACAAACTGGAGGAACAGTGAAGGAAGTGATGGCACTCAGAGAATTCTCAGTAAAAAGAAAGCACATACCAGCAATAGACGGGAACGCACTCAGCTGTTATAACCGAGCATTAACACAAAAATACAAAATTGAAAAACAGAAGCAGTTCGCATCAGCGAGGAGGAATACTTCCCAAGTTGAGCAAAATCCTAAGTAGAGCAAGAGCAGCATATTCGTGTTTGTGTATGTGTATGTGTGTGTGTGTGTGTGTGTGTGTGTGTGTGTGTGTGTGTGTGTGTGTGTGTGTGTGCGTGCGTGCGTGTGTGTGGTGTATGGTGTGTGGTGTATGGTGTGTGTGTGTGCACGCGTATGCATGCATCTGAACATTAGAAGGATATGGTCAAATAACAGAACGCAGCGAGTAAAGACCGCTACAGGGAGCAGCCAAGCAATGTGTGATAGCTGGCAGCAAACAAGTTGATAATAACACATAGGCACATAGATGTCTGCCTGGCTAGCAGTATTGCTGCTGCCCTCATGGCAGTCAAGGGTGATGTGGGAACACAACATTGAAAATTGGGATAATTGGGGGGGGGGGGGGGGCTAGGTAGCAGTATACACCTGCAGGACACAAACCAAGCAGGGTACCCTGCGAGCCAGCATGACTTCTGCTGTAAGAAATTAAAAACAAGATAAAGACAAAGTCTGATCACGAAATCTATGGTCTGGATGAAGAAAAATAGAATAATAGCAACAGCACACTGGCTGTGTCAAAGGCGCGCACTTAAAGATCAGCTTGAAGTAGCATGTGCAGGTGCATGTGGTGTATGCGCGTGTGGGGGAGGGTGCGCTGTTGCACAGAGTGTGCAGGCTGTACATGTGTTCATGTGCGTGTGACTAATTTAGGAGTAGAGAGAGAGCATCGCACATAGAGTCATGTAGAAGGCAAATGGAAGCTGCTTCTGGCATATAGAAAAAACTCTATCCAGAGGGGTTTGACCGAGAATCAACTATGCTTCTTTCGTGAACAAAAAAACAACAAAAAACCAGGACTATTTGTTGAACTTGATTTCATTTAAAAAAGAATAGACTATATCAATATGTCCTAGTTCATGTACTACTCCGGTGTATAGACAATACCAATAAGGGCATCAGCAGCAGCAGCAGCAACAACAGTCACAGTGTAATACTGCAACCACTGCCCCAGCCAACAAGACAGAAGTAGTTATTTGGACAACTGTAGATTTTTCACAGCATCCATGATCTGTAGGGAAACACACCCAAATACATCGTATTCACTATTCAGCAAGCATTTGCAAAAAAAGTCAAAACCGATTGTGCCATTATGTCATCATTTGAGGTGTTTAGTATTGAGTGACATCACATGCATGGGTTTTGGCACTCAATACAATGCATATGATTATGACGATGCCATTGACACAAAGCTCTATAACAAAGTTGCACTGTGCTTGTCATGTAACGTTAAGTTCACTATGCATGGTCAAGTATGGCAGCGGGCAAAGAGAGAGAGAGAGAGAGAGAGAGAGAGAGAGAGAGAGAGAGAGAGAGAGAGAGAGAGAGAGAGAGAGAGAGAGAGAGAGAGAGAGAGAGAGAGAGAGAGAGAGAGAGAGAGAGAGAGAGAGAGAGAGAGAGAGAGAGAGAGAGAGTTAACTAACCTGTCTTTGATGAGCACCGCTAGTTACTCCGCACTTTCTCAGGTCACCTAAACTCATGTGAGACAAGAACTCTAGGTCATCCCAGCCTTCACGTAAGAAGCCGTCAATGAAGCGAGTTAGTCCCAGTTCTTTGAGAAAGTCCGCTACGGTTGATTGTTTGCCATTGTGGAAGGGCGACTGCAACAAATATAGGTGAGATGTACACAGCGAAAGGCTCGACTCCCATGCAAACAAGAGTGCATCAGTGCCAAGAATAGAGAGGTTCCGCACAACGTATTCACGTTAGTAAAAACGCAGTCGATCTACGGAAAGTCTTACGTACACTGTATGCTAATCCGTGTTCAGCCATACAGAGTTTTCAAATCACGTAGCTGCCCTTGCCAACTCCAAACGCGACAGAGCACAACCTAGGCAGAGAGTCATAAATTTATACCCCAATCCACTCACGGACTACCTCCGTTAGTAGAGCTCCATTTACGTTCTCTATGCCGACAACTTCAGTAAGTGGAGTGCAAACTCGCGAATTCACGGATTTTCCCGCCCACTTAGGGTTATCGGTAAATACCGATATTTATTTAGAAACGAAAACTAGTCATTTCTCTACAACCCCCTCCCCCCTCCTTGAGTAAACACAATACATAATGTCGATATTTTTTCTTTTTTTCTGGACGTGCCCACACATACAAACTGTGCATCGATATTAGGGAGGTTTAGTCCCACGTAACGAATACAGGAACGTGAATGATACACGTAAAGTTCATGCAATGAACCCACGTTTGTAATGTTGTTTTTAGTCAGACGGAACACACACAAGCATGAAGCAAAAGGCCCAAACCTGGTCAAAGACGAAGCTTCGAAGTTCATCGAATATTTTGATTTCGTGCTTCGGAAACTTCTTCAGCTGAGCACTCTCACAGCTTGCACAATGCGCTCCATTCTGATTTTCACCCACGTTCTGGCGAAACGTGGGTGAGCCTCCATACACGGTATGTCGTGAATCAGAAAACGGCCGTACGTGGGTCACTGAGTAAAGTACACACGGATTACGTGGGACTACACCTCCCTATTTTTCGAGAAACGAACACGCGCTCAACCCCCTCCCCCTAAACGACTAGTTTTCGTTTCTAAATAAATATCTATATAATTATTTACGGATGGCCCCTTACGTAAACTTTACGTAGTGCGGAACCTCTCTAATGATAACAGTCTCGACTTTTCTAAGCACTCGCAACAGTCTCAACATAAAATAAATTTTAAAAACAGCTATGGTAAAAATCACACCGAACACACGACAGTGTACTGATGGCAGAAAAGAGGAAAATTTGCTGCAGCAAAACATAAACATAAATGCTGAATGACTCAACATTCGATCAAATATTGTATATTTTTTGATGACCAGTTCCCAGATGCTCGTGCTACCCAAGCACAAAACGTGTGACACATGTCGATGCTCTCCACCACACTTCTAGGGTCGTAATTAGGGTCGTAATTCTATTGGAGGGGGGGGGGGGGGGCTCCTCGTCCCCCGCTACACGTTGAAACACCAAAAGGCTGTGCACTTTCAACTGGAATAGAAATATAGTAGAGTGGAGATCATCCGCACACCTCGGGGCGCCGGCTGTCTCCAAGGGGTTCGGATGAGGAGATAGTTCGGATAAGGGAGAGGTCACACATCCATCTAGGACATGCACGTTCCCTCATGTCTCCATCATTTCTCACTCTCTTCGGCAGTTCCACAGGAACTAGACACACTCCAGCTCCTCAAAATGACTCTACGGTGACACAATGTCACTCCAACCTGTTGCAAAACATCTTGTGTACCGCTTGAATGGTGCTTCGGGCGGGGAAAATAAACCAAAACTCATTTTCCAGATTCAAAAAGGTGGTTTACGCCATTTTCGAGCATGTTGAAACTTAAAAAAGTCGTCTGTAGTTCTGTACGGTTACATTTCCAACTGTACCACATCGACCCAAAGTCAAACCGGAATGCGTGGCCTGGCACAAGAGGCGGGCGAGTGGATGTGGTGAATGAAGGGACAGATGGATGTGGCAAATGATCGGTTGGGAATGTGTGTCAGTGGTCATTACTGAAGCTTGCTATGCCCTAACCATTACTGCACAGGTGCTGCATCTGATACCACCAGTAGAATGTACACCACTATTCCATATATTGCATGGAATAGTGGCGTCTCATGCACAAAGACATAAAGGGGAAGTTAAGGCAAAAATTAAAATTTCACCAGTTGTAGTCTTCGGGGTGCTGAGTCGAATGGTCGTGGTCCGAGGAAGCTGAGACGCTCCCTTCCTACTTGAATCCCAATCGAACTCGCGCACTTCCACCGAAACTGGGTGACTGCGCCCTACTACAGTCCATTTCAAAACTATAGACGCGTACCTAGGCAAAAACCGTTATGCCAGCATCTATACCACATAAAATCTGTGATCACTTTGTGCATAATTTTTTCCAAATTGGGCGTCTGTTATCCAATCCTTTAGAAACTATATGAGAGTAATTGTGGAGCGATCCTGAGCAATATTCCGTAAACTATTCTCAAAAGGTTCCAGCCAAATTTGAAATATTTCAAAAACCCTACGCGTCTATAGTTTTGAAATGCACTGTAGATGGGGATTTGTATGCAAAATGTCACTAAAAGCGCCATTTCGTTCTTATAAAAGCACGGATGACCGCGATTGGCCAATATGTTGTAGTCTTTTGGACGCTGAGTCGACTGGTTTTGGTCCGAAAAGGCTGCGATGCAGGGTTCCTCCTTTATTCCCAATCGAACATGGTTGAACAAGCGGTCACGTGCTCCTGCGTACACTAGTCAGCTGGTCACCGTGCCTGCAGGGTACAACTTACTAGCCTGTTTGACCTTTTTTGGGTGCAGTCCTGTCACTCGAGTTGAACTCGAGTTGAACCTTGGTGTGAAAGTTCTCCCCTGCTGGCGTGGTGACCAGGTGATTTGGGCACCCAGGAGCACGTGACCGCTTCTTCAACCATGTTCGATTGGGAATAAAGGAGGAACGCTGCATCGCAGCCTTTTCGGACCAAAACCAGTCGACTTAGCGTCCAAAAGACTACAACATATGGGCCAATCGCGGTCATCCGTGCTTTTATAAGAACGAAACGGCGCTTTTAGTGACATTTTGCATACAAATCCCCATCTAGTAGGGCGCAGTCACCCAGTTTCGGTGGAAGTGCGCGAGTTCGATTCGGATTCAAGTAGGAAGGGAGCGTCTCAGCTTTCTCGGACCAAGACCATTCGACTCAGCACCCCGAAGACTACAACTGGTGAAATTTTAATTTTTGCCTTAACTTCCCCTTTAACAACGGAGAGAACACACTCCTCTGTGACCAGGCTAAGATAGCATACATCATGCATTCTAAAGACGTGACCTTATGCATGATATGAGTGGTGGCTTACGAGACTGCTGTCTGCATGACTTCTAGAGTGCGCGGGGGCAGCAAGGTCTGCGTCAGCTGTGGATAGGCGAGGGCGATGTGAGGAGTTCTGATGGGCCATCTGAGCAGACCGCGAGCGCATCAGAACCGAATGTGTTGGTGATGATCCAGGCGCTATAGATGATGTCCCTGCTGGCGGTGCAGGTGCTGGTCCATGGCGAGAGGACACAATGCCTATTCCGCTGCTAGCATTGGGCGGTGGCAGGGGCGGTCGCTCATCAGAAGATGATCTCGACATGGCTGATGACGATGACTGGGATGGCTGTGATGCTGCCATGCTGCTTTTGGGTGATACCACATCTAATGAATGTGGGAAATTGATTGCAGGATCCGTGAGAGATGGCCGACTACCCTGTGCCTAATGACAATGACAGGAAGAGAGAGAGAGAGAGAGAGAGAGAGAGAGAGAGAGAGAGAGAGAGAGAGAGAGAGAGATGACCCGCACACCAACAACATACTTCAACAAGCTATAGTGCAAAACAAGAGCAATGTACATGGCGTGACCGGCCGCAGAAACTTACAGGGCGCCGCGTTATGTTCTGAGAGCGGGGATGTAACGTCGACACATCACCATTTATCACGTAATGGGTCCTTTCCCGGTACGGCCTATAGTCAACATTGCCCACAGTGGGGTCTGTAGATTCATCATGGGTGCCGGGTATGGACATTGGTCTCTGTGCCTTTCCATCACATAAAGAGGGGCAGCTAGAGAGATGTATGCCCTGTGCAGACAGCAGTATTATAGCGAGCAGAGATCTTAACAGTTCAGTAGAAATTGACCCGTACAAATATACAAGTGCTTATCTCCTCTTAGCTACAGTCCTGGTAAGACACTCATGCAGTGTGAGCAGACAAGAGGGCAAAAAAAAACAGGCGTTCGAAAACATGTCACCAGAGATAGTAGATAGGGCACGGGGAACAGTGGATAGAGAAAGAGGGGAACAAACAGAAGACAGGGAAAGAGGATACGAGGTACAGGAGCAATGACACTGGCTGAAGCGCACAGCCTCTCTGAGTAGTCCAAGTATGCATGTGACTTTTAATGCCGGCGTTGAGTATCAAAGCCAAGTTAGCCCATGCGGGCACATGCGCAGCGATGGTCTCATGATGCATTTCATTAAATATTATTCTGCATCGAGTATGGTCCGTAATTTTCATTTTTTGCACTGTTGCTACTGTGGCCTTTATACGCGCTGCAGTAGATTGTCGAATGCAGTTTATTGCGTCTTTTCCTGCGGACAAGAAGTGCGTTTTCTTGCCAGGCTGGGATTTTGGCCATAAGGCCTAGCGGGATGCTAAGTCAAATGGTCTTGGTCCGAGGAAGCCAAGACGCTCCCTTCCTCTTTTATTGCCAATCGAACTTGCCACTGCCACCGAAACTGGGTGACTGCGCCCTACTAGATGGGGATGTGGTGCAGTGGTATGTGCAGTCGATTTCCAATCGAGAGGTTGCGGGTTCAATTCCCGACGATTACGGTCGCACACGTCTTTCTTCTCTTTCTCATTCTCCTAGCTCTTCTTTCATTTTCCTGGGTGGTTACCAACAGCCAGTGTATGCCGGAGTATGGGGGTGTGGCGTGTGTGTTACAAAAAAAGAAAAAAAGAAAAATGGAAAAAATGAAAAATAGGGATTCAATGGCCAGAAAAGCCACTTCAATCAGCTGTGTGGTGGATACCAGGCTAAAATTAGTGGTGGTCAATTCATCAGCCTTGCAAGCTGTTGAATGATGTAATCCCAGCACAAGCTGCTATGTCTAACATATCTGTCCGCTATCATCGCTTCTGCGATGGGCAGGTCTGAGGTCTGAGATTGGGATTTGTATGCTTGTAGGCTTAACTTCCCCTTTAATAGTGAAGACGACAACACAACAGCATGTTGAGCATTGAGTACACTGGATACACACACTACACACACTACACACCCAATTGCGTGTTAAGCCTAGTTCACATTCGACGGGGCGCGATGGGGCGCGGCGTAAGGATCAACGGGAAGCGACAGGACGGTCTGACGGCGTCCAACGTGAACACCAGGAACGGGAACGCAACCGTACTACTGTACGGATCGGGAAGCGACAGGAAGAGTTGGATCAGTTAACTTTTCATACCGTAGACGGGTGTAGATAGGGACGCAAGGGTACAAAATGGCTACATTTTGAGTGTGAATAGGAGACGGCGTCTACTCTCGATTCGTACTTGGAAATTTTAGCATTTCGAACACTGCGCTTCCCATGATAACTCGCAGAATGGCTAACACAAGTTGAGTTGAATTTAGCAAGATACGATGTGATGTCACGTATCGTATTTAAGGATAGTTCAGGAGCGTGGCAGACGAACTGGTTTATCATTTCCTGGGGCTATTATTTGAATGGCACAACTTTCAGGGCTACTTTTTTGGTCTTGATGAAAACTTGCATTGTGAACTTGATTCCGCTTCATTCAAGGAGAAATAATTGAAAAGAAGTCCCCGGAAAACAAGAAATTAGGTCCGAAACTTCCGAAAGTCACCCCGTCATGGACCGTGGCTTATGACGCGCGCTGTTCAACATCGCAACGACTGCAGAATGTCGTGTCGTATGAATCGTACAAGATTATACAGCTCACCCCAGCCGTCCCGACAGGCCCTTACCTCGCGTACCGTCAGCGTTGCGTCGAATGTGAACTAGGCGTTAGTCTTTACACAAGCATGATGAGTGAGACAGTAACATCGACCACTAACCTTCTTCACTGGTACAGGTGGACGATCTTCTGCTCTAGCAGGTATACTTGGCTTTTCATCGCCCTATATAAACACAATAGCAACAGCCACAAAGACAATGATGACAACAGCAGCAGCAGCAACAAACTAAAAGGTCAGGGTGGATTTTACTTGAAGTAGTGATTTATCAGTTGTCACACATAATGAACTACATGAAAGCAGAAGACACAGTGTCGTCAACCAAGCCTTATATACAGGCAGTATCACAATGCCATCAACCATGCCATATATACATGCAGTAACGGATCAACCATGCCATATATACAGGCAGTAACGGATCAACCATGCCATATATACAGGCAGTAACGGATCAACCATGCCATATATACAGGCAGTAACGGATCAACCATGCCATATATGTTGGACTCAGTAGAGCGTCCAGCCCCTATATGATGTCCAACCCCTATATAGAGTCCATTGGTCCAAAATCCACTGTACAGAGTCCAAACTTGGAATCAACTGTGAGCTCAAAGTTTCGATGGACATCACTCCCTGTATAGAGTCCAGCCAATTGGCTTCACCCCTATATAGAGTCCATTGGTCCAAAATCAACTGTACGGAGTCCAAACTTTGAAATCAACTATAAAGAGTCTTTATGTGGACAACACGTATAAAGTCCAGCCAATTAGGCATCCCCTATCGAGTTCGAAAATAGACATAGGATCTGCTGTAAGCAGTGAATATTAACCAGAAAACGGCCTCTCCCTTTAATCCTTTACATCATTCACTTCTCAAGATAAAAAAATATGTATTGAGGCGCCACTGCAGCCACTTCATTACATGAAAACCCTACAAACACCATCCTCAAATCAAGTGGTCTCTTCGCAGACGCTGCAAATTACAATATCTCAATCATGTAGTGTTGCCAAATTATTGTGCACGCACACACACATGCACACACCCACACACCGCCAAGAAAATACCTAGGAAAAAACCAAGAATCAAAAGAGAATAATGGAGAGCCCAGGATTAATTATTTGTTTTCAAATTATTGTGCGCGCGCGCACGCACACACACACACACACACACACACACACAAACTTATACAACGCCAAGAAAACACCAAGAAAAGAATAGAGACACAATACACACGCAACTCCAACAGCCATGCAAACGTCCACCCATTTACATGTAAAGTCAAGAGGGATAACAAATTATTATACGAAACGAATGCGTACGGGGACGGGTACACGCACGTTTACATACACGTAGTAGTGTAAGAGAGTAACATAGTGCAGTGGTCAGCATAATACTAGCACATGCTGAGAGTGCAATAGCAAGCTTCACCATTGCTCATGGCCATGCAAATGTTCAGCAGCACTCAGTTCCGCAAGCTTCTGAAGATCAGCACACCTGCAACAAATAGATAGCACAAGGATACGCTTATTACCGTAATGATGCATGGGAGCACACAACTACCAAGTTCTCAACGAATGTGATGCTCAATGAAAATCAATCCACTCAAAGACCTGTGAACAGGTGATGGTGGGGACAATAATCTATTAGTAATACGAGGAATAAGATCGTTTGTGCACACTCAAGACGCACAGACACACCAACATGCATGTAGTGTACACAGTGTTTCACTTCACTGCAACTAAATTGAAATGAGATGATTTGAACAATCTGTACAGCGTTGCGGTCAGTCAGTCTTCCCCAAGATGGAAATGCAATGATTTGTTGTCACGAGGCAGTTTCACTGACACAATGTCATGTTCGTGACATCAAAACGGTTACTTCAGGGAATACGAGTATTAGCTTGAAGCTTTCTTGTCATTGGCATACAAGCAATCCTCCTAGTCCTACTACTACTAGTACACTGGCACTGCGTTTGTGGATCCCATTGTATTTGACATCATACTACAGGAAGAGTGTCGTGGAGTTCACATAATTATCACAGGGATAAAAATACATTTCTCATGAAATAAAATAATAATTGATGATAGCTAGACGGTCATTATACGATTGATGCAAAGTCCTTGCAGTCCTTGAGGACTATTACGAAGTGGTTGATTACTTTTAGGGCATTCATTCAAGCAACATCAAACAAACGCGATACGCTCCTTGAAAATGGAAAAAAAATTCAAGCATAACGACAGAACAGCAGACCAATCGAAACGAGTAAAAGCTTCCTTACCTCAGTCATCGTCCTGCCATGTAGTTGGACAGCCTTTTGACACGGTGGTACATGCAGCTCTTGTCCAGTCAAACAGGGGTATCCTTGTGGCGTCGAACGAAAGAGAGTGTCAGTGTATCTGACTCGTCAGATTGCAACTGTGCTGAACTTTTCTCTTTCTCCGCTTTCTGCTTTCATCCCTCGCTCTGATGAAACCGTTCAAACGTCTTACTGGCAGCAATGGCCAGCCAAACAGGGGATCCTTGTGGCGTCGAACGAAAGAGAGCGTCAGTGTACCTGACTCGTCAGATTTGAACTGTGCTGAACTTTTCTCGTTCTGCAATTTCTGCTTTCATCCCGCGCACTGATGAAACGTCTTCAGAGAACCACAAGACGCTTTCCAGATTTGATTTTGAACGTCTCCTTATCCTCCTTGGTTAGCTCGAGACAGATTACTGTCAGCAACTGCACAGCAGAATTGGCAGCCATGGCTGAAGTGAAGAAAGGAATGCGCTGCCACGAGGCAAGCAAAACTGAAAAATGTGTTCCCTTTCGGGCACATCACACAGGACGGCGTGACAGGATAAACTGGACTCCTGGACCGTGAATAGGGGACTTGTAGAAAAAGTGTACTCCTTATAGGGGATTGCGCGGCAGGATGAAGCTGATCAAAACTGAGTGGACTCCTGGACTCTGTATAGTGGATTTTGGACCAATGGACTCTATATAGGGTGCTGGACATCATATAGTGCATGGACTCTATACTGAGTCCTACATATATACAGGCAGTAACGGATCAACCATGCCATATATACAGGCAGTAACGGATCAACCATGCCATATATACAGGCAGTAACGGATCAACCATGCCATATATACAGGCAGTAACGGATCAACCATGCCATATATACAGGCAGTAACGGATCAACCATGCCATATACAGGCAGTAACGGATCAACCATGCCATATATACAGGCAGTAACGGATCAACCATGCCATATATACAGGCAGTAACGGATCAACCATGCCATATATACAGGCAGTAACGGATCAACCATGCCATATATACAGGCAGTAACGGATCAACCATGCCATATATACAGGCAGTAACGGATCAACCATGCCATATATACAGGCAGTAACGGATCAACCATGCCATATATACAGGCAGTAACGGATCAACCATGCCATATATACAGGCAGTAACGGATCAACCATGCCGCACATACAGGCAGTATCACAAGTGACATACAATGCCAAGTCTACGAAAAGACTAGTTTAACAGAACAGACGCAGTAGGAGCACATTTTTAAGTGTGAAGACTCCACTGTGGCCATCCACTCTACCCATACATCTTCACAGCACTCTACAAACGGTCTCTGGGACCGTTTGTAGAGTGCTGTGAAGATGTATGGGTAGAGTAGTAGTAGGAGCAGACCAGCTATCTTTCAAGATGCAGTAAAATAGTACTGGAGCAGATATGCTCAAGCTCTCACCCGCAGATCTGCCGTGGCCGTTCTTGAGCGCGAAGGACGGACTGGTACTGCAGCAGCATGACACACAGAGCACACAAGCACACATAAATACTAGAGCACACAATACAGACAGTACTACTGAGTACATCAGTCAAATACAAGCTACATTGATCGGTGTGTGATGGGAATGGTAAACTGGGCAATGGGGACAGGTCGTACAGGTTCTGAGCACTGGCCATGCAATTGCACATGCTGGTTCATGTACTTTTGGTATGTACGTGTAGCCTGCAACTGTAGGCTGTGATATGCTAGTACAGTTCCAGGCGGGATAACTCATACACAATATGTCACATGTGTAGGGAGATTCTTAGCGTACTATTACTATTAGCAAGACGTGGCAGTGCGGGGAGTGACAAAACACACACATACATAGACACACACACACACATACACACACACACACACACACACACACACACACACACACACACACACACACACACACACACACACACACACACACAAACACATGGCAATCTGACCAGGTGGCGCATCGACATCACTAGAGTCTCTGCCAAAGCCAGAAGATGTGGCGGACACACGCATGCTACCACCCGGATTGCTACGCCGTGACAAGGGAGGCGGTGCAGTGGCAGGTGGACGTGGTGCAACTGAAGTACTCCCTCCGCCTCCTGACGCTGACGCTGGTGTTGGGTTCAGACGCACCGCTTCAATATCAGATTGCAAGACAGGTATGGGTGGCATGGCATGACCAGTGGATGACCGTTGGAGACCGCTAAGTTGGCTCATGGTGTCTTGCAAGCTCTGACCACGGATGGCAACAGGACTCGCTGCATGCAGGTGTACAATAGTAACACAGTACGTACTGTAAATCAGCAGTTTCTTAAGCATACTACATTGATCATTTTGAAAACTTCCAATTTGTGAGCAGCATCACTTTGGTAAATTAGACTCCAGGCAGGTATGTGCACACTAGTTTGTTTAGAAAGCAGTATGGGAAGCGCACGGTCTGCCGAGGTCTTTTACAAGCCGCCTACATTTTCCATATTCACCAACTACGAGGTCAATAACATAATATTTATCATGGTATTTCAACGTGTGTGGTGGCGAATTGTAAAAAAAGTCGTCAAAATGGCACTGGTCAAAGATGGCAAATATTTGACCAGTGAAGATCAAGGGAATTAGTGGAAATCAATATGAACCCATGATAAGAATACTTATTGGTTCACAGTAATATGAAGAGTCAGACTGAAGAACAGAAAGAGCTTCAGGCTCTTCACAAGCAAATTTTCTGAAACTTTCCACGAGGACTAATTTCACTTTTTGTCGCGCAGGAAGCTAGGAAGCTAGTAATATTGTACTTGGACGGAAACTAACGAGAGAGCTTGGAAGCCCAGGGCCCTACGCTATGCTTTTTTGCTTAGCTAGCTCATCATGCATGTTATTAGTACTGATGGAAATGTTTTTTTTTCTCCATTGATTGACTACATCAAACTTTCTCTTTGCATTCGAGGGTAATACGACACCGTCTACCACCTTGATGACCTAGGCAAAAAAGAATAGGGATATACTTTTTTTCATTTCTCCTATTTTATTTTCAAGACAACCTGGGATTCGAACCCGCACTATTGTCCTGCATGCATTCCCCCGATACACTTCGCATACATACTCATTCTTCCAAGCTGCTTTACGTTATGATCTTGCATTTGAAACCCTATTTGAATATTGTGGCCAGCTGTCTTTGATGGTACGGTACGGGACAGGTACGGGATAGCGCAAGGAATGCCGATGGACAAACACGGAATTAAAACTGTGTGGACCCTGGCTAGCGCCAGACGTTACTGAAGTAACGTCTTTTGCTTAGCTACGGGAATAAACATCACTAGTAACAGGGTGTGCTGTTCGAGACCGGGGCCCATTCAGTCGGTGTAAACAACTGAACGTAGTTATCCAGTAGTTATCACCCCCGCACGTTCACCTGACGTGTGTGGTGCGCATCTTAATCTCTCTCTATCCATGAGTTTCTACTGCCTAGGTCTAACCTGGCGCTAGGTGTGGTGGTGCCGATATCATCGATGCTGAAGTAGCCCTTTCAGAGTCGACTTCTGCTGCATACAACATTTACAAAGCACGTGGAGTAGCAGCAGGAGCAGTCATTGGGTTAGAAAAACAACTATACCATAACTCCAATGCTTGCAAACTTGACAATAAAGCTGAAAAAGAACAGCAATGATGCCCATGAATCCAATCACATGCATTCATCAGGTTAATCACAGTATAAACATTTTCCTCAATGGCTTATTATTATTATTATTAGACACAATCTCATAGCATGTGACAAGCATAGCTAATGCAAGGACAGAATCCCCTGAGACAAGGGCGTTGAGCCAGCCACGGCAATAGTAAGCTAGGAAAACAAAGCAAAAGCAAAAAAATGAATGGAAAATTACAAAGAAAAACGATTAACGGAAGTGAGCACAATCAAAATTCGTGCATCACCCAGGTATTCGAGAATGTTCTTCGATAATAATTATTGCGTCTAGTTCAGTTGCGATAGTAGATCTTTAAACCGACCAATAGAAGAACAAGTTTTCAGACCCTATGGTAATGCTAACTAATGAGAGTAACCGGAAAACAAGGGGGACTTTAGATACTGGGCTGACTTAACAAGAGGCAGGATAAGCGCGTTACGGGTTGAGCTTGTCGAAAACCAATTGTACTTCATCATGTGTGAAGGGGTTTTATGAAGAAATATTTTATGAACCAGTGTACAGAGATGGTGGTTATGACGAACGGAGAGAGGAGAAGTGTGTGCAAGTCGATAAAGGGCATCCGATGGAAAACATCGATCCTTGTTGTAAAGAATTTTAAGTATAAATCTATGGTGGACTTCTAATTGGTTCAGAGTTGCGTCAGAAAGGCCACACCAAGCGGTATCGCAATAGTCGAATATGGAGAATATAGCACTGATAAAATAAAAATAATAGTTTACACTGGATGGGCAAATGAGTGCAATGTGGTTGTAGTACCCCTAATGCTGAACTGGTTCGCTTGCATACACAGTTGACATGTGCAGCCCGAGAGAGTTTGCAGTCAAACATCACACCGAGATGTTTGTGCTGAGTAACAACACGGATAGGCATAGTCGAGTCAGGGAAGTATAATGGTTGATCAGGAGGGGATGAAGCTTAAAGCAAGAGTACATAAACCAGAGTGTGCAACTGTGCATATCAGATCTGAAACAGCGCAGTTTGTGCACTGCGTCACCCTGATGAGGTCAGCCAAGCTGCGTCTTGCGTAAAGCTCAAATTTTCGTGTTTCACAGTCCGGAAATCAGCCAAGTTTGCATGATTCAGACGTCCTGTTTTAGGATTTCGGTGTTTTTATGTGACTGCGTATGCTGTGTACCTTCCCTGGCAAGTAATTTCACCATGCTATCCGTATCAAAAACCGAAATCAAGACAAACTCAGTGACCTGCACCACTGGGACTGGTTACGCAACTTTTCACTGTGCCTGTGCCTTACCATGCCGTCAGAAATGACGTACTGCACAGATTACGCTCCCACAGGAACCATCCCGAGTTGCACACTCTGGTTTATGTACTCTTGCTTAAAGGGGAATTATAGCCTTAAATCATGTCATTGTAAATAGACGCTAGGTGATGGGCTGGGGTATCGGGAGGTCGCTCAACAACCGTACAAACCTCTGCAGATTGCGTGAAATTGCGCGCACGAGATCCGGGTGGCGTCAACTGGTCAATGGCATCATCGACAAGAAATATGTGTACCACTAAACAGGTCTAACTTACTTATAGCTACTTGCAATGTGCTAGTGCTGCACCAGCGTGTTGCATTGTTAGTGTCTTTGAATAGTATGCGTATGATCAAGTGTTTGTTCACCTATATTTTCCCTTTTTCGTTTTTGGTTTTGCTTTCTTTCTCTTTTTCTCCCCTTCTCTTCTGGTATCATGTCTAACATTGGGTGTGGCCCAAGCGAAGGCTAGGCTAACGCTGATGCCTACGCGAAAGGGCTGATGATGATGATGATGATAGCCTAAAATCAAATTTTCACCAGTTGTAGTCTTCGGGGTGCTGCGTTGAATGGTCTTGTTCCGAGGAAGCTGAGACGCTCCCTTCCTTCTTTATTGCCAATCGAACTCACCAGTTCTACCAAACCTGGGTGACTCCGCCCTACTAGATGGGGATTCGTATGCAAAATGTCACTGAAAGCGCCATTTCGTTCTTATAAAAGCACGGATGAATGCGATTGACCCATCGTCTTTTGGACGCTGAGTCGACTGGTTTTGGTCCGAGAAGGCTGCGATGCAGCGTTCGGCGCTTATAGGCCGTGCAAACTCACTTTTATCGTACCGTTTCCAAGGATATTTACTCGCATACGATAAACTTGGACATACGCGTGCAACTGATTTTAGAACTTGGCCGGGACCCTTGTGCTCACGATTATACTTTGCACACCAGCAAAAGTGTCGGTTGCTGAAAGTGTGTACAAGTACTGCAAGTGCAGTGCTTGAACAAGGGAAAATTCAAAATTTAAAATTTCCCCGCATCTTGAGGTCACTGTGGATACATTGACGCGTGCAAAGTTTGCCACGTGCTCATGCGTACACCAATCACCTGGTCACCGTGCCTGCAGGCTACAACTTCCACACCAAGGTTCAACTCGAGTGAGAGGAACACGCCCAAACAGGCTGAAATTAGAGTAATCGGCTTTGCACAGGCAAACACGCACACTACACATTCATACACACATACTAGTAACTAGCATTCAAGATACTGTACAAAGATGTGTACCTTCTTCATGGATGAGACTGACATCATCTGCAATGAGCAGGAGAAAAGGGCAACATGTGCAAGAAGAGAAACACACACAGGCTGATGCAGGGGAATTAGAATATAGATTGGAAATTGCTACTGCGTGACATTGTACCGGCAATGAAGCTGCAAGATCACTGCAACAGCCTGAACCAGACCATGTCAATGAGAGCAATTGAAATTTTACATAGCAACATAACAAATACAGTACAACTGTGTGAAAGCGCGCACAGCCCGTAACAAACATTCCACTTTGTGCTGCAACTAGCAGTAAACTAGAAGCTACAATAAAGTCATGACTGTAAGTTCTGAAAAGTGTCTAAATGCGTCTGGGCGACTGTGCAATAACGTCACACCTGCAGGAGAACGGGATGAATGAAACGGATAAAAAGTTTAAAAACTGCACATACCATAAGGGTTGCGAGTTGTCTTGACGGGAATGTAGATGCTTCCACTGTACATGTAGTGGTAGACAAACAAGAGAGAAAGAACGAATGAACACATTGCTGATACTGGAAGTAAATGAAGATATTTCTGGGGGAATATTTCTGCAGCATCCTATCCCCAATGCAGCGCTCACAGGCAAAGCTATGGAAACTAATGGATAACACGGTCACTGAAAATGTAAAAAAAGCAAGAAGAAAGGCTCTCCTCACTGCCACCTAGAGTTTATACACAGCAGGATTGAGCACTTTAAGGCACTAACAAGTCGATGACACCTGCAAAGGCAGAATTTGAACTCATGAAGGAAAATTTTCATTCACAAGATGGTCCAAACAGGGCCTTTTGAGGGATAGCCGCATCGAATCATAGGGGAAATTTTCAATTGTGTCAGATAAAAACTTGTCATCATAGAATCAAACTTTACATGCCTACTCTTGGTGCATACATTCTCTTGCTACCATTTTTTACACCAAGGATAAAACATAAGAACACTGACTCAATACGTACCGTAAGTACCCAGTTGCTTTGCCATGTCGTGTCAGCTCAATTCCAAATTCTACAGGAGACTGTGAAAAGAACTCCACGGCAGCGACAACACCACCACCTGGCATGCACCACACCAGAGGACAGCACATATCCAATGTACTACTCAGTGATGGGTATCGCGCGTCATGACAATTCATTACAGCTACCTCAGTAAGACATGCTGCAGCCCGCCCTGTACACTGCAACCTATAACAAATTACATGATCACACAGTACACACCATTGTACTCCATAAGCAGCAGCAGCAGCAGCCATAACATGCACACAAACCTACCATACACTTCATCACCATCGACTGATTTGACAGCAATAAAGAAATGCTGATGCATCAGATACTCCTCATCTGCCAGGATAGGCTGAAGACTCATCTGCAAACACCACGACCACCACACACACACACATACACACAGGTACAAACCCATAATTAGAGATCAGACTCATCAGAGTACATGTACTTGTAAAACAACACAATGCCACAGACAAACTTAGATACCTGCATATTGATAACAGTTCTTTTTAAACGCAGATCAAGTCCTGAATGGAAGCTGAAGGGTTTTCCAACCGTGTTGCGTTCCACAGTTAATAATTATTGGGGACTCGTGGCCTGGTACGAAGACACTTCCCACTGCTTCAGGAGCTGTATCTGTGCTTCGATCTTTGATGGTGGTTCCGTTCCTACGGATGCGGAGAACTCAGTCTCGCTGGGACTCACGCAAATCGCGAATTTTTAATTCTAATGCTGATCAAGTGTATTTCTGATAACAATCGGACATTGAATACGCCCCAAGGAAAATGTTCACACCTTTGTGTGTGTGTGTGTGTGTGTGTGTGTGTGTGTGTGTGTGTGTGTAGGGGGGGGGGGGGGGGCAACATGTGCGTGTGTGGATGCACACAAAAGGAGAGCTAGACAGAGGAAAAGAAGAAGCGCCATGCATTCAATAAAGGAACTGCAGGAAAAAAAACAGCATATCACCATACCTTCTCAAGCTGCGTAGAAGACCACTCTGGAAAGCTGGTGTCGTGCAACATGTGTCTCAGGACTTTGGGACAGCTCTTGCGAAAGTCAGACTGCTTGTCATGTGTCAGGTACGACGTGTTGTTCACACTGCGTGCTGAGCCTGAAATGAACAGTTACCAGCAGACACATCTTACACTACATTTTGACGTAATATACAGCTTATTTAGTGGGAAATTAACATCTTTGAATTATCGTCGTGGTGGCAATGACCTTAAAATGGCAATGAATAAACAAATCGTGCAGTCATAACAAAATGTTTTCGTGTGACACTAGTGGTGAAACGAATATTCGAATATTCGAACATTCGTTCGGTTTGGCACATTCGAATATTCGTTAAGTCACATTCGAGTATTCGTTACGTCACTTCGAATGCAGTGCCTGTACATACATGGCCGCCGAACACGGTACAGTGCAGTGCGTACAGCCTGCCTGTGACTTTGTACTGCATGCATGCACATGTATGTCCATACTGGACTGCCGATGTTGCACATAACATTTATGAACTTCGAAGTAGCCTTATGTGGCAGTATATTTTACGTGGCACTACCGTTTGTCATACCTAATAATATATTAGTATTGACAATATCCATCAAATGACTGAGAGGAGGGCATGTGATGTCATCTGTGTTACGAAAAGAATATTCGTTCATTCGTTCGTTAAGCTGAAGAATATTCGACTAGTAGGTTTTGACATTCGTTTCACCACTATGTGACACTCATCAGCGGAAATTTGTCTCGCAATGAAGAATGACCAGAACAACCAATATATTCACTGGTTTGAGGGAAAGACACAAACGGGAAAAGTCTGAAGAAAAAAATGACTGTCACCACCAGAACTCGAACCAGGGACTTTCCCTCGTTTACAATATAGTCAAACTGGAACCAGGGACTTTCCCTCGTTTACAATATAGTCAAAATTACAAGGAGTTCTTACACCTAGAGTAACAGCATAATTATAGCGAAATCAGGCGGTACAAGAAGCGCAACTCACAATCAGCCAATAACATATGGTAGGTTGTGAAAGGTAGTTACAGTCAACTTCGCTTATAACGACACTCGGCGGGGCATCAGAAAAGTGTCCTTATTCGCGAAGTGTCGTTATACCCGAAGTCTCATTATATGTGTCACAGGTGGATGGGACTTTGCTCTGGGCATGAAAATTATGTCGTTATTCGCGAATTGTCGTTATATCCGCAGTCGTTAGTAGCGAAGTTGACTGTATACTTCTTGTACATGGATATGTAGAGGTAAGAAGTTCTTTGTGAATGGACATGGTGGTGTGTGTGTGTGTGCATACTACTTGAAGAGTGTGAAAGTTGTTGCACCTTCTTTCTGCTTGCACAGCACAGGATCACACGTACGTATGTAGACAGCTTTTAACACCTGCAGCTGCTTGAGCTAACTCTAACACCGAACGGCACTGAGCCAGGAATCATCAAAATACATAATGACACTCTGGATTTGACGCCAACTGCTTGTACAGAGCGGACTCCTTCTCGTCAACATCAAACATCTCGTCTTCACCACTCCTACCCTCATCCTCACTTTCCTCCCTCTCATCGCTGCTCTTCTCCCTCTCATCATTCTCACCCTCTTCCTCATCACCCGTCACCATCTCACAACGACTGTGCTTCTTCCTCCTTGATTCATCTACTCCATTCATCACTTTGCTGTTGCTACCGCTTGCTTCCCTTGGTCACATATTCCCCGTCTGCCTCAACCATGCCTCCAGTACAACAGTTGCACACAGAACTAGGAGTAAGCCTGGGGCATTTTTCAGAAGAAGAAAAAAGTACACGAATGCAAATAGAATGGCAGGAAAGAGACACTTAACAATATCTTACTGTTCAGACACTCGGAGTGCACTTCCAGGTAGTAGGCAGTCTTACTGCTGGACCCAATCTACAAGCAGCCAAGCAGCCAAGCAGAACAACACATCAACCTAGTCTTACTGCTGGACCCAATCTACAACCAGCCAAGCAGAAAAACACATCAACCTAGTCTTACTGCTGGACCCAATCTACAACCAGCCAAGCAGCCAAGCAGAACAACACATCACCCTAGTGAACATACCCACAGCCACAGGAACTAAACCTATTCAGAAGAGAACGGAACTTCGCCACCATCGATTAGGAAAATGCAACCAACTTTCTTAGTCGAGATCCTGTGCAAAATGGCAGCAGCAGCAAATAGTGTGACTTACAATCGCAGCTGCATAGGTGAAGTGGACGTAAGTACCAGTGGAGGGTGCTCCATCTGTCAAACAAGCACAATCACAAACACAGCCATACTCAATGAAATCCTATGTCACGAACAAGGTTAGAGCCTTGCACAAGTGTATAATTATCCTACTGGTTATGTGTCTGGGCATAGTTTTCTAACGTGATCTGATTCAATTGAGTAGCATGGCAGCAACATTACTCCACATCAACACACTATCCAGCTAGTTGTACAATGAAAGAATAGTGTTCTACAACTCACTATGATCAAGCATGTCTCATTATACTTGAAAAGCATAAGTTATAAGAATCAGGTAAATCGCATAACCCCAATACTCTGCATACGAGTGATGAGTCTGATGACCTTGAGAGGCTGTGATCCATCGTTCACCACATATTGCCAATCGAATTCGCACAGGCAGTGCATTCCCGTGACGCCAGGGATCCATACATATATGTTGAGTGCTAAAAAAGCTGATTTTGGAGCTCGTTTGATAGGGGAACAATGCATTTCAGCCTCTTAGGAAAATCCAAAAGTTCATAGTTGAGGTGAGGGTTAGGCCAAGTAAAAAAAATCCT